TCTCTTGTTAAACATGCAATTCACGTTGTCAAGTGGACAAATTGCCACTTGAATCTTTGCAAAATATCTAGTAACCTTAAGCTGTTACTCAGTTCCCTTGGAAGAGATTTCTAAACTGAGCAGTATTGCACCTGAAATATGCTAATACATGAGGCAGTACAGAGACTGTTAGACAAAACACATTTGAACTGCACAGCAAGACTTGTGTTCTCTGTGGGTCAAGTTAGCAATGACATGAAAGGCTCATTCTGAGGCTCTGAAAAGCTACTGTGCCCTTTAATGCTGAACATTTTGACACCTGTCACTAGGAAATTTGTAACCCTGCCAGAAAAATGCAGTACAGCCTCTAAGTGCCATTAAGACAATGAATTATTTGTATAGGGAGAAAGCCAGGGAAATTCCCTCCCTCATAAATCAGCTATGGTCCTTGGCTGTAAATGTTCAGTAACATTCCAGCAAGAAATATATTTTCCCCTTCCTCCTCTCATTTTCTGTGACTTACCTTTTCATTTGCTAAAAATTTGTGACACCTTATTTTTCCCAGACTGATGCTTAAACCTAGGTGTTTGTGTTTGGTTTTTGCTCCCTCCCACCACACCCTAGGATTTTCACTAAAAACTTGTTCAGTTTGCTTTCTAAAATTGGGAGGAACTCTTACGACTCCATTGCAACATCTAATAATTGTATTTTTTTTTAATGTTTTACTAAAAAGAAGAGCAGGCAAACTCCTCCCTATGGCAGAGATTCAAGAAAGCATCCCTATTCAGAACAACACGTAAGGGCTGTCCTGACTCAGGGCCTACTGCAGTGATTCTTAATGACAGGAACAATTAAAACTACTCACATATTGGTTCACTATGTGCTTCCATTTTGCAGATAGTATCAGGGGGTAGCTGTGTTAGTCTGTACTCACAAAAACAACAAGGAGTCCAGTGGCACCTTAAAGACTAACAGATTTAATTGGGCATAAGCTTTCGTGGCTAAAAAAACATTTCTTCAGATGCAACTGAAGAAGTGTTTTTTTACCCACGAAAACTTATGGCTAAATAAATCTGTTAGTCTTTAATGTGCCACTGGACTCCTGGTGCATTTACAGTGTGCAGTTTTCACGGTGGCTTCACTTTTGCCCTTTAGCTACCACTCTAACATTTTAGACAACTAAATTGTAAAAGCAAACATCTGTCCAATCTTTTTAATGAAGAATGTTCAGAGCTGGGTAAGTGCTGCAATCAGGCAGTCAATACAATTCACCTACTTTTTTTACATGAATTGGCTTTTGCTATTTTCATGCCCCTTTTGTCTTTGTTTTCTGCAGACATTCCTGCAAAACAGTTTTACTAGTATGAATGTCTGTAGGAAGTGAATTTTAGGTTCACATGCTTGAGTACTCACTTAGATTTACTTTTTGAAAGCATTTATACCAAGATTCAATCTTTCAGTCGGAGAAGAGAAACAATACTATATGGCTTATGTGGCCAATCACAACCCGGCCGTGTAGCTGAAAATTTAAGATGTTGCTTATCAAGCCATAGAATAAATGTAATTTTTAAACAACGTAATCTAAAATTATGAGAAATTTCCAATCTCTTCTCAAATATTTAATAAATAGAAAAAAGCAAAACTTGTGGCATAAATTCTTTGCAAATTATTAATTCACTTGCAACAAAGCAGGACCTACAAAGTCTAGCAAAATTATGTAGGAACTTCTGCAAAGAATCCTCATGTAACAAAGCGTGCTGTCAGGAGCTGACTCAACACCCTGTCACTCAGCTCCCCACCAGTTTATATTATTTGAGCACTGATTGAAAGATAGGTGGTTGGCAGAGGTGACCAATTACATGAGACAAGAACAGGAGTACTTGTGGCACCTTAGAGACTAACAAATTTATTTGAGCATAAGCTTTGGTGAGCTACAGCCCACTTCATCAGATGCATAGAATGGAACATATAGTAAGAAGATATATATACGTACAGAGAACATGAAAAAGTGAAAGTAGCCATACCAACTGTATGGTTGGTTTTTAATTAATTAAGATGAGCTATTATCAGCAGGAGAAAAAAAATTTGTCGTGATAATCAAGGTGGCCCATTTTAGATAGTTGACAAGATGTGAGGATACTTAACACGGTGAAATAGATTCAATATGTGTAATGACCCAGCTACTCGTCTCTGTAGCCCACCAAAGCTTATGCTCAAATAAATTTGTTAGTCTCTAAGGTGCCACAAGTACTCCTGTTCTTTTTGCGGATACAGACTAACACGGCTACTACTCTGAAACCAATTAAATGAGAGAAGATACAGCTGAGAGGCTAGTTGGATGGAAATATCCAGCAGCTAGGACTATATAAGTAAACAGGACGGAAGTGCTGGGAGGAGGGGAAGACAAAAGTAAACAGGACTGGCTGCTGCTACTGTACCCTTCCTCAGAAGCTAGTTGGGAAGCTGGCAATGATTGTAAATGTAATATATAATAAAGCACAGTGGTGGTTAAGAAGACCTGGAGCAACTGTAGTCAGTGACTGAGGTTGGAAAGGACTCTCAGGATACCTCATGGCACCTCATTATTTTGAAATGAAGTCATGAGGAAAATATGCATCTGTTCGTAACTGATGGGATTCTCTAATGCATAAATAAGGACAAATTGTGCCACAAATACGTAACATCACTGCATCTAAATTGCTAGTAGACTGATTTGCACTATGTTGGGGTTGCCTGGTGAAGGACAGGTACCTTCCTGGACTTGCAACTTTTCTCCCTCTTCTCTTGGTTTTGACTAAATATTCTTTAGCTGAGTTCTGGGAAAAAACCTCTCCTGATAACGCTTCATAGTCCCATAGGTTGTAGTGCGCTCTGGTGATGCTAATGTACTTTGGATTGGGCTACAGATGTACATCTGGGGCATCATTTGTGGCAACGCTCACGATGTTTCTTTACTTTCAGTGTCAAGGAAAACTCCATCCTATGATGTATTCACTGTCTCCACTCATAGATACCTGTGGGTAAAATTTTGAATTTAGGGGCTGATCCTGTAAATATGTACAAACATGAGTGACTGCTCATGTGAGTAGTTCCCTTGCTCTGCTGGTAATGTCATCGTTGACCACCAACTTACCTACTGCCCCAAACACCTTATCACTTTCTTCCATGACACCACTTACACATGGAACATCCTTCCTGAGCTGATCCTTAAGGCCACTACCCTCCTTTTTCAAATACCTCTCAGAACCCACTTTTGACATAAATGCCTACAAATGTAAATGATAGTTAGGAATATCTAATGAATAGATATAGATATAATGCAGGATATGTTTTTTAAAAAGGAATTGTACATTGTATATAATTACCTGTATATATTTTGATGTATTCATCTCTTCTTCCCTTTATATATCACTTGTTTTCTTAGGGGTAGGTATTCTGCCTACTTTTTTCTGCAAAGAGGTACACTACAGGGCCTCAATCCTGACTTCGGGCATCTAGAGGTATGTGTACACTGCATTGTAAACCCAGGCTTAGACTCAGTTTTGAGCCCAACTCCCCCTACTGTCCACACACGATCTGTCTGGCTTGGGTCAGCAAGCACTCAGGACCCTGGTCCCAGAACCCACCTGGAGGTTGGATCCTGAGTACTGCTGAGACTCACATCCGAGCCCTGTCATTTTGCAGTGTGGACACAACTCAAGCCACAGATCCAAGTCAGAAGGTCTGCATAGTGCAATATGGATGCATTAGCACAGTTGTGAGACCCAGGTCCAGCAATTGTAAACCCAGGTTTTTTCAAGCATGCGCTTGGAAACACCAAGTCCACAAGCACTGGTCCCACAGACCCAGGATTACAATGCAGTGTAGACATACCCAATGTGGTATTGAAATATAAAAGTAAAATTTATTATATATACCGTATTTTATATTGTATGGTAGAGACGTTGTCTGAGTAAAGGATTGAGAGCCTGATCCGGGCTGATTCTGAGGTTCTGAAACCAACTTCTGCTTTGTCTTTTTGCAAATCACTTATCTCTTTTCCTTTTCCCCCCCAATCTTTAAAATGGAGGTGTAGTCTGGGGTGCCAAAGGAATAGATGGTTAAAGTTGTGAAGCTCTTTGAAAATGTTAAGTCATCTACATAACTGCTTAGCAATAGTAGTAGTATTCATTTTTTATCTTCCATGCTGATGAGATAGGCTCTAATCTCAAATTCTCTGCTGCAAATCATCACTTCATCTTGGCTTTTTCACTGCTGAGTGCAAAGCAGACTCATGGGGAGAATAAGATTTGAAAATTGCCCTTTAGGTTGGAAATGAATATGATACCATTCTGTCCAGGTTGCTGTACTAACAGTCCTTACATTTTTATATATGAGAATTATTATTGTTTCCCTTTGTTCTTTTCTTATACTGCAATTAAAAAACATAAAATAGAACAAATGGAACTTGGAGTGACCTATTGTTATTTTTAGCTCCTAGTCAAAATAATTTTCTGAAACCATTACTCAAGTTGTACACAAACCAAAGAATTTGAGCAAATAGGCCAGATCCTTATTTGATGGAGCTAAACAATTAAGTTAATGACAGGTTTCAGAATAGCAGCCGTGTTAGTCTGTATCCACAAAAAGAACAGGAGTACTTGTGGCATCTTAGAGACTAACAAATTTATTAGAGCATAAGCTTTCGTGGGCTACTGCCCACTTCTTCGTTAATGGCGCTAAACAGATTTACGCCAAATGGGGCTCTGGCCCAATCAATGTCTTTATATTACACTTGATCAAATGTGGAATTCTGATTGTCTGCCTTACCTGATGCTGCTTCTGATCCTGTTTCTTCTGAGCACATCTCACCCCCTGTCCTAATTCAAACCTTGATTAGAATTTGACCACGAGGCATTTTGAAAGCAGGCAAACTGAACTGGCAGGCAGTGGTGACTAGTTATAATTGCCCTTTCATGATGGGGTTTTCCCATGAAAGATGGCACTTGCATACATTTCACCCTGTTTCTCTTTCTTTTCAGACCTGTATGTGGAATCAGAGGAAAAACTCTCATAATTAACCTGCCAGGCAGCAAGAAAGGGTCACAGGTAAGAAGTGTTTATATTGAGTCTACCTTTAGAGCTTGCTGCCATCCTATAAGAAGGACTTCACATTGCTTGACATGGCAGAAAATTAGCTGCCCAACCAATTTTACAAAAATCCATGTATATATGTGTTAATATAGCCAAAAACAGGATCAAGTGCATTGCTCTCTGCAGCCACAAGACTCTACATTCTGATTCTCAGGGAGAAATAAGAGATCCAGCTCAGTCTTGTGTATGAGGAATTCATTTCTTTCTTACTACCAATTTTGGTCAGGAAAGGGGAAAAAAAAGGTGTAGGGCAACAGTTTTTAAACTGTTATGAAGATATATATATTCCAAACAATCTCTTATTTCGTTATTGAATTTCAGAGTTATTACAACTGAAAGAATTTTAAAACTCAAAGTTATTTTTCACCCTTCATGTACTTTGTTTTCTTTTTGCCTTTCACTCAGCGTGGACAGTGAAACTAGCTGGTCAGTTTTCTATTTTAAGTTGTTTTCATTTCCTGATTCTAATACACTACCCCAATTATGTTATATTTTAGAGTTTCCATCACAGCTGTGAAAGATTCACATCAAAATGAGAATTTTACCCCATATTTATTATTGTTTAAGCAAAAATAAAAAATGAGTATTAATAAGCTTGAAGAAGTTTTGACAATTTATAGGTGGGGTAATCCCAAAGAGACAACATTATTTCAACACATTATATTGCCCCTTTTTTAGATTCTAGAGATTGATGTCCCATGTGTTAAACTATGGGGGAGATAGAGTGGCATTGTTTTTTTGATAATTTTTATTTACTATTTCCAGTAGACCCACAATGTACTAGGTGTTATCCAAACAAAAAAAAGTTACTCACAATGTAAAGATAGGAAAATAAATAGACAAAGGATGATGAAAAGGGGTACAACATATTGAGAAATAGTTATTTTAACAAATACATGCAATATGTACAAGTGATAAAGAACAAGATCTTCTGAAAAATAAAGGAAAAAATATGTAGTGAAATTTCATAAAGGAAGTGTTTTTGTAACCTGATGTGCTTTCTTTGTCTTTCTCTCCCCCCCCCCCTCAATTAATGTAGCTTAAGAAGTCAAGATCTCTTAGATTTCAGCAAAGGTTATTAAGACCCATGATAGAGAGGTATACTTCTGGGATGTAGGAACCTCAAGAACTGAATTGAATGAGTTTGTTACAGAGGTATCAAATGAGGATTTACTTTTTCTCATGAATTGTTACTTCCCTTTTAATTTCATTAAAATAACCTTACTAAATATCACTGGAAGGTAAAAAGAGGGTGTGTGGATGTTAACATTCAGAGCTGGAAAACTTGCAAGACTGCAATTTCCCTAATAACGGGAGAAGTTAAAATGCCATCATGGTCAAAAAAGTAAACGTGTAAAAATCATTCCTTCTTACTCTGTATATGTTTCCTTCATATTTTATGATTCACAACTGCCAACTTCTTGTGCGAGGAAGTGTTTATTCCTCTTAGCTCTGTAGCACAGCTACAGGAGAAGACCCTGGAGTCTATTTTAATAAATTAATCTGGAATTTAGTTAATAAATTATTTAAGCGCTGACAATGTACTTAGCTCTGACCAGGACACCAATATAAAGAGCTGTAAATTTAAGTTTCACTATCAACAGAATGAGCAGCTAAATTCCAAATGCAGAATCTTTATTACTGGTAATGATATGAGACAGAAAAAGTACCCAGCTGGATTTTTAGATCCTGTTCTTTATTTTATATCCCTGACAATTAGACAAAATCATTTTTTTACTTTTAAACTCTGCATATTTATCGTGGAAGAAGAATAAATCATGAAGAGAAAATAAATAGCAGACCTCCCATAGTGTTTTATATTCACTTTTCTGACTATACTGATTGTTACTTTTTGGTAGATAAATGAAAAGAAGTGTGATGTTTCAAAAGATAATTTTTAAAAGAGATTAAACTGTTAGTGCAATAAAATGGCTCTAGTCATCTTTTAAGAGGAGCAATTTGTCTGGTAAACTAGATTGTACCACGGTTGCTAAACCTCCAGGATTGTTCTGGAGTTTCTAGAAATTAAAGATTATGTCGTGATGAAACCCCCAGGAATAGGTCCAACCAAAACTGGCAACCCTATGTTTGCCTTAGCAATATAGTGTGGGAAGAAACAAACACTTGTACCCACAAGAAGCTGTACTTTACCCAGTACTTCTGTGCTGTGGTTGTGAACACTCTAAGTAATGGTTGGCACACTGAATATTCCACTTCACTTTAGAGAGCACTCAATGTGTTTGATTGAATGCCAAAACCCAGCACATTCTTCTCTGCAGTGATGGTGTATAAGGTCTGGGAGCAAAAGGAAAGATATCAGTGGTGCTGGGATGTACTGTTCAGAAAACTTTTGTACAGTGTGCCTCACAATCAAGATTTGTGGGAGATTTCTCCTACTTTTTGCCTGCCCCATTCCTTTATTTAATATGGCCTCAACAAAAGAAAGAGATATAATCTTTTATAACCTTTATGTTGAAATGTTCTCAGTTAGCATTAAGTTGTTAAAGATAAGGATGCAATAAAATCCATCTTAGTTTTCAGGTTCGAGCCTCTAGGTTGGTTGCAGAAAATTTATTTAGTAGAGTACCATGCAGTGACACTTCGAATGATACAACCAAACTATTAATAAGAAATGATTACTTAAGCAAACAGTCATGCAATTGCCACTTACACTGTACAACAATTACACATGCGCTCAAAGCTTAAATAATGAATTGATGGATGATCAATCCACTGACACCAAATGAAGTATAGCCGTATAATCTTAGAACCTAATGGTAACTTTTTGATATTAATTGGAGCTCACTGGCAATTTAGCAAAACTACTCCTTTTATAAGCTATTATCTTATTAACTAACATAAAACTGATCTTTCCATAATTGTATTTCGACCACCTTCTTATTGGCTCTTTACATTACACATTATTTCAGTTAACATCTGCACCAAAGTCCTTCCCATACTATCATTATAGATAGCATTTTAATAAACATTCACAATTCTCAAAAACACTCATTAAAACCTTGCTTTAAACCACTTATAGCCTAAACATAATGAGCAAAATAACCCTGGGTCATGTTCTTGCTAACTCTTACTTTCCCATTAAATTCTGTGTCCAACTTATCTTTAACTTTCTCACACTAGCAAATTCAATTTTCCATACTCCTCTACACTTAGGCTAACTTAGGCCCAAACCCTAATTTCAACTTATTTGTTAACTTAAACCATTGTATCAGCTACAGAAGGACAGATCACCCTGGGGTACACACTCGATGTAAATTGTCATAGGCCCACTGATGTCATTGGGCCTATGACAATTTACACTAGCAGAGATTCTGCCCCCTAGGGTTTTTAATGTTTGCCAGTAAAAGTTTTGAATACTACAAATAATGTGGGATTTAGAACTCTCTTTTGGAACCTATTTGTCAATACTTAAACCAAACAGGGGTTTGTTTGGTTGTTTGCTTGCTTTGTTTTCCCTAAAACAGCCTGTTTACTTTTCTAATGTGTTAGTAATTCTTTGTGTACTTCCTCAAAGATTCACTGCTTTTCATTTTCAGTCAGCTTACAACTTCCTGTCCTTGTCCACCACTTATATCATGTTTCACTTTTTGAGGTTTAGAGTTTATTTAAATAAAGAGAGTTGTGTGCTTTGGTATTTCCAAGGCTGTTTTTCAAAAAATAGTAGTTTTGGAGAAACGGTAGCAAGAGTTTTGCACTTAAAGATTATTTTTAGTATATATGTTTAATGTAGTGTATCTGTATTCTCACCTAACTTACAGCAGTTACATTGAGTACAGAATTAATTTTCAAAGAATTTAGAAGTAAACCTGTTAATTAACTTGAATTGTAATTCAAATGCATCATTTGAGACTTTTTTAAATCTTTCTGGCAAATTGATTCATGTGTAGAGTCTAGCATCATCTAAAGGATAGACAACTTTTTATTTTGTTAATGTGATCATTTTTTATTTCCTGGCAATATTTATTATAACCATTTTTCCTGGCAACTATTTGTTGTTGAATGGATGCTTCAGATTTGGAGATTTCATTTTAAAAAGATTTGCTTCTGCATTTCTGGTTACAAAGAAAACTTGGAAAATGAGCACCAAATATAACAAATGCAGTGTTGTCTTCTCCCCTCCCTACTCTGCTCCTATGCCTTCCTGCCACATGGCTGCTCTCCTCTGTGGCCATGCCATCACACTGCCAATCAAATACATACCCACACCCACCCATTCTTTTCAAATTACACAAAGTACTAGTGTGATAAAGTGGGAGTTTTCTGTAATATTTTTATGAATCCCATGTGTTCCCCTATATGCTGCTTCAAACCCTGTACCTCCTGTAGCAAGCCAATGCTGGTGAGCGACCCACATTCCAGCTGTCTGAAGTGTCTGGTGGAAGTTCACGTACGAGAGCATTGCCAGGTCTGCCGCCAGTTCAAGCCTCGTATGAAGAAGGACAGGGAAGCTAGGCCAAGATCCATCCTGATGGAAGCCGCACTCACACTGGCGTCGGAGCCAAGCGTACCTCGCCATCAGTGCAGAGTGCTCCTCTGGTGGTACATGTCTCTCAGCACTGTTCCCCTTTATTAGTGCTGAGGAAGAAGCACAAAAAGCTACAGTCCAAGAGGGGATGTTCCCCAATTTGAGAAAGGACAAACACGGGGAGTGCAGCGGTGTGTGACTTGCATAAGGCCACTCCTCTGCCTCTGCCCTGCAAGCAGCACCATCAACTCTTCCATGCTCACAGGTGCTGTTGAGTCTGGTGCAGGACCAGCCACTGACACTGGGGGGATATCGTAGCACAAGTGGGTTCATGGTGCTGTCTGTCCCAAGGGCATTCGCCGCAGCCAGGAACCTGATGGCAGTTTCGGTACCGCCGACCCCTGTGGAGCAAGATCCGGCACTGGTGAGGATATCAAGCAGAAGGGGGCGTGGTGCCCCAAGCTCCTATCCAGCACCGGGTCCTTTGATACTGATCAGAAGGAAACAGATTCTGCTGATGTTGGCAAAGGCTTCTCCGCGCTGGCACCATTCCCCAGACCCTTGGCATCGGTCGGTGGAAGCAAGGGGTACCTCCATCCATGATCCCCGCAAGCCGACTTGTCATCAGAATTGGAGGTGGAGCCATGCACCCAGCCAAGAGGCCGATACCAGTACCTGGCCTATGTTCCGTTGGATCCCTGTGGAAGTGCCCCTCCAACTGCTTGGTCCAGTGGGCAGTGGCCTGTGCAGAGCCAATGGCCTTTTGGGAATCCGTGGTGTTTCCCCCCAGTACTGGGACATCTTCCAGCTGTTCATACTCAGTGGGGTCCAAGAGAAGGGCCCTTCCACTGCACTGTCTGGCACCTGAACCGGACTCCAATACCAAACACGGTACCGATACTCAGGATTTGGGGCTACATGTTATGGTTGGTGCAGAAGAAAAGGAGGAAGCTCCCCTGCTGGTTCAGGCTGCCTCCTCCTTCCCAGACAAAGCTGTGCTGGAGTTGAGTGGCTCGGCGCCGCAGGATGACAGGATCACCAGGAGCTACTGAAAAGGATGGCTTCTAACCTACAGCTGGAAGTGGAGGTACTTTAAAAATCCTCCCACAGCCTGATTAACATCTTGGCCCTCTCAAAGGTGGCCCTACCCCTCAACCAGGCTATTATGGATCCAGTTAGATCCCTATGGCAGATTCTGTCCTCCCTGCCCCCCCCCCCTTCAAAAAGAGCAGAGAAAAAGTACTTTGTCCTCCACAAAGGGTATGAATACCTTTATTCCCATCACCCTCCTGGGTTTCTTGTGGTCGCAGCAACCCACAAAAGAGACAGGCAAGGGCTGCAGGATGTGACCCCCAAGGTCATGGACTCAAAGAAACTGGACCTATTTGGCAGAAAAAATTATTCTACTGGTGGATTACAGCTCCACATCTCCAACCAGCAGGCCTCGCATGAGCAATATGACTATAACATCTGAGACCTCGTGTCTATATTCAAGGACTCGCTGCTCTCAGAAGTCCAGACAGGAATTCTCCACTCAGGTGGAGGTAGATCAGACTATAGCCAGGACCTCCGTCCAGTCTGCCCTGGATGCAGCTGACACAGCTGCTAGAACTGTGACATTGGCAGTAATCATGCGAAGGTGCTCTTGGCTCCAATCTTCGGGCCTACCACCAGAGGTTCAGCAGTCCATTCAGAGCCTTCCATTTGAGGGAACATCTCTCTTCTCAGAACAGATGGACACAAAATTCCATGGCCTGAAGGATTCTAGGGCCACTCTCATGCCTCTATGCCCCGGTACCTTTGAGGAAGTACTTCAGACCTCAATAACCGGTCTACTTCTGGGCTCCGGTACTGCGCCAAGACCCGTTTAAGAAACAAAGCTGGGGTTATAAGCACAGGCAGCCACCCTCTTCTTCATCATCCTCACTACTGCCCCAAGCAGAACTTTTGAAGGGGCACCCAAGAGCGTTATATCAGTTCCCATACCGGATCTTGCCCCCTTTTTGTTTTCAGACTAACTCTCCTACTTCAGCCCTTTGTGGTTCCTCATCACCTTGGAACGTTGGGTGCTGAGTATGCAACTCGTTTGCACCCATGAGGCATTGGAAACCATTCACAAAACACCCCGTGCTAGATGGCGGCAAGGTGCACAGTGGGAAACTACCCACAATTAATTGCTTTCTGAATCAATGCAAGTGCTGCTACTGTGGATGTGCACCGGCACCACAAGGAGCATAGTGTGGACATGCAGCAGCAGTTTAATTACTGTAGTGGCTGTACATCAATGTAACTTAAGTTGATTTACTTTTGTAGTGTAGACAGAGCCGAAGAGACGTGGGTATGGATGTCGTCTAGCTGTCTGGCCCTTAGTCACCATATCAATGGAATATTTGAGAAGACAATATCAGAACATTGACACCTAGCAACCAGTGATCCAAAGGGATATAGATTTCCCCACTTCTCAGCAGGGAAGTTGAGCAACATTCCCCAGCTTGAAAACAAAGGGCTAGGAGGTGCGAGGCAGGCAATAAGAGTTGGCTGCTGGAAAGAGTCAGGGTTCTCACCTGGAGTTTGACCAAGGAGGTCAGACTAAGGGCAGGTCTATACTACAGATTTACATCAGCACAGCTGCATTGGTGCATTTGTGCCACTGTAGTGCATCTGGTGAAGATGCTCTAAGCTGACAGGAGAGAGCTCTCCATCAACTTATTAACTCCACCACCGTGAGAGGCAGTAACTGTGTCAGCAGGAGAGCTTCCTGCTGACATAGCACTATCTACACAGGCAATTAAGGTCGGTATAACTACATCACTCAGGAATGTGAATTTTTCACACTCTTGAGCAATGTAGTTATACTGAAGTAAGTAAGTACTGTAGACCAAGCCTCAGGACTTGTCTACATCGACAGGCAGTGATCGATCCAGCGGGGGTCGATTTATCACGTCTAGCCTAGATGCGATAAATTGACCGTCGAGCACTCTCCTGTCAACTCCAGTACTCCACCAGGGTGAGAGGCGCAGACAGAGTCGATGGGACAGCGTCAGCCGTCAACTTACCGAAGTGAAGACACCACGGTAAGTAGATCTAAGTACGTTGACTTCAGCTAATTATTCACATAGCTGAAGTTGCATAACTTAGATCGATTCCCCTCTCCCCCCCCCCCCCCCCAATGTAGACCAGGCCGCAGACACGCACACAGCTTGAATAATGGGGCTCAATACAGCTTTGCTGGGCTAACCAGAATGGTCTATACTTTAACCTTCAGTTCTCTGTGCTAACCTAAAGACTTACTATGCTGTGTTCCAGTTGACTAACAAACCCTACTGTTTTGACAAAGCTCTTTGAGTGTCACTGCAAATGCTTGCTGAGGTGCATTAATCCTCGAAGAGCGTACAAGTCTCTACCAGGAGTCTGTCTCATTTGGACTTGCTGAACAGAGCTTACGGTGTAAAGCAGGAGTGCTGAAGCCCAGGAGATCCAGTCTAAAGAGGCAGTGGAGCCATATGGCTGAGCCTGGAGGACAAGTGAGGGCCTGGAACACTGAAAGGGTTCCTCCTAGAGACTGTTCCAAAGCTTGGGCAAAAGCACCCATCCTGTGGCTCTGAGACAACTAGATTGTTTTAATTTTATTAAAATATTCCTAAATACGTAGGTATTGTTTGTATATGTGTTGTTGCAATGCATCACACCTATGACTGGTATTATAGGTACAAGGAGTACAGTTACAGGGTCTCTGCAGTTTTTCAATTTCTCCAACCATAGGATGGAAACTTCTTACAATCTTTTAGAAAAACATAGGACAAAGGGAGGTTTAGAGGAAAATTTTATATGGTCACTGTAAAATTATCCTGAGTTATAAGAAATTATGATGACATTAATGATAGTGTGTCATTCTACCAGCCCATAGGAAAAGTCCAAGAATAAAAAGTAATGTGTCTTACCATGTGAAAGCGTGATTATAGAAACCCCTAATGGTGTGAATAAGGATTTGAAGAATCTTTCTCTGGGTATGAAAGGAACAAAATGGGGACAGTTTGAGTCTAGGGTAGAATTAACATTGTTTATGTTTTGAATGTCTGTTTAAACATGATATTTGTGATATGTGTTCTGTGGTTTGGCTAATGATTGTTCATTCTATAAATTGTTGTGGATTGGTTACTGGATGATGTGTACAATGGCACTTAACTTACCCTAGATTTTTATGTTTGTAATATTGGTTGGTTAATTTTAGCAGTTTTAACTGTTGCACAACAAAGTGTTCTTGTGTATGATTCTATGAAAAATAATACTGTATAGCGCCCAATTCACCTTTGATTAATCTATTAGATTTTCACTTGATTCTTCTCCCATCAGAGATTGGGTGTTAATTTTTGATCAGATGGAAAATCTGATCTAAACCCCAATTTCTCCTTACTGACAAAGAAGTCAAATCCCTATTTTCATCTATAGGTAACTCTTCATTGTCATTTCTCTTCTTGTTGTACATAGGAATGTTTTCAGTTTATACTGCCAGCCCTACCTCATGCCATTGACCTTTTGCGGGATGCCATTGTAAAAGTAAAGGAGGTACACGACGAACTTGAAGACCTACCTTCACCGCCACCTCCTCTTTCTCCTCCTCCAACCACCAGCCCACACAAACAGACAGAAGACAAAGGTGTACAGTGCGAGGAAGAGGAGGAAGAGAAGAAGGATAGTGGAGTAGCCTCAACAGAGGATAGTTCCTCTTCACATATAACTGCTGCAGCCATTGCAGCTAAGGTGAGTCTAAGTCATATGCATAAGGGGCACTTAGGTTTCTATCTCAGGTACTTTCCACCAACATTCAATTGCATTTTAGGAACATGTTTGTTTTTTGGTTTTTACAAACTGGTGGATTTTAAATACATTGTCTAAAAATCAGCACCATCCAGTTCCACAACAATATGCCAGCCCTGTTTTGGTAATTATCACAAACTTTGTAAGGTACCACACATACCCTGCTATTATCTTAATGCTTTTGTGGACTTTACAATACCATTTTCTGTAGTCCTAGAATTTTTTTTTTTACTTAAAACACCTGCCCTGCCTGACTCCAGTAGGTGGTACTTCATTTCCTGCTATCACAACGTTCTGTTAAAAAGGACAATATTGATTTTGCCGAAGCTAAAATGGAAAAAAATATGACAAGGAGGTTGTAGAATAGCTAATAATCTACCCAGGCTACTGGTATTCCCCCCATATACATCCATGTTATGGGGGCATAGTGATGTGGAATTTTGCTACAACAAATAGGTCTCGTTACTATTTAGATTTCATTACTTTAGCCAGTTTGATTAGGCAAATGTTACCAAGACTAGGATTAGAAATTTTGGAGTATAAAAGAAAAACGACTTACAATAATTTGTTAAAATAGTACTTGGAAAATTTATTATTTCAATATGTCAAAATCGGTTAAAATACTATTTTCTCTATAATTTTGTTTTTCCAAATCAATAGTATTGTTTTAGTTGCAGCACTGTATCTTTTACCTTTGTTTCATGCCTTCAATTTATACATATATAAGGTTTGTGTGTTTCTAGATGCTTGTGAAAAGTTATTTAAGTTCATCCACCCTACAACTGGCTAAACTGCTGTTTTTCAGTTGCTGTTGACCAGTGTATCCAGATAAGGAATTCATTTTAAGTAATCAGAAAGACAGTATACCACTTTTTATTTAAAGCACAATAGCAGCATTCCTGCTCCCAAAAGATGAAGTTCAGGAATGAGCCATCATGTTTCCATGATGCCTCCAACCTAATATTATTTTCTCATGAACAAAAAAATCCTGATTACATATAGGTTTGCAGGACTAGAAGCAAAACGGGATGTAAATTATCAACTGCAAGTTGCAATTTTTGTTAATATTAATTTAAATGTAATGTCTAATTAAGTCAAATAGTTCTTTTGAAATGGCCAAATACTTAAGTATTTAGTGCAATTTTTTAAGGGCAGAAAATACCTGAGATCTAAACTGATTGTGCTCATATAAATTTCTAAGCACTTTGCATTTCAGTGTCCCACCTGTATTCACCCTTGTTCCCTTTCAGTCATTTTGCTTGTATAGTTTCATGTTTTCCTGTCACTGTATTCATAGCTGTTATGTATTGTACATTAGAAGCATCCATCCTACACCAGTTCTGCTGTTATCATGGCAAAAGGTGAACAGCCCATCCCGGGTCTCATCTGTTATTCCCATCACGCAGCAGGCAGTGCAGGAGAACCGGTAAGACACACCTACAAGAGGCTTTTGCATTAATAGTATCTGCAAGTATACTGCCTGCCTCCTCTCCTAGCGTGTAAAGAGGAGATGTTATTTGTTTTATTCTAGCAGACATACAGTGGTGCTTTAAAAAAAAAATTAAATATATGAAAAGCCACTGAGCCTATTCTGTCAAGGACACAGAGTTTAATAAGATCTATCCTATAGCCAAAATATCAAAATATTCGGTTGAGGATTAAGATATTGTGGGTTGTGTCAATGAGTATCCTCATTTGGATGTAAGATGTTCATTGCTATGAAACCTGTGTCTGTTTCATCATCTCATATATTTAATATATTTAATAAATTATCCAACCTCATTAAAATTATCCCTTAAAATTATTGCTTTGGAGTCTTGGAATCTTGGTGGCTTTTTCCCCATCAAGTTGCATTGCCTCTTTAAATACTGTTTTCATTGGTGAGTGTATTACATTAGTGTGTCATTTGTATTAGCCATTCATATTTTGCTTGTTTATGCTTTAATCATTTATAGATTCTACTAAATTCTAATGTTTTGTGTTTAGAGTCAGGATTTCCTACAATGTAGGGGCAAAAATTGAGGATGCAGGATAAAAAGGACTTTTATTATAGCTATTGTTGAATTTCAGTGAACAACAGGCAAAAGCGAGGAAGGACGTGACATGACAAGTCCACATTTAGGATAGTCAGCTGCTCCGACAATTTAGATTGGAGGGCCATAGTTAATAGTCTGGCAATATAATTTGCTGTTTTTCTTATCCCAAAAAAATTCAGGCTAGATTCCAAGGTAAAAGAATGAGCTAAGAGGGCATCAGAAAAACATAATTTATCATATTTCATAGCCACAGATTAGTGAGCCCAAAGAAAAGCAATTGGTCTGGAGAGACTTGGACTAGCTGATCTCATCAAACAGCAAGCTGCTTTCTCATTTATTATTGGTAAAAATTCTCTGGACATTGTAACATTAGTCTTATTGGCAGAGACTGCACAGTGTTGCACTTAATTTTTCACTTTTGTGTGTCTCCTCAGACAAATGGTAAGCCAAACCATTCATTAAATAGTCTAATGTGGCTGTATTTCAGACATGACATGATATGTTAAAGAATGTAATTTACAAAATGAGGAAAGGACTCTTTTGAAGTTAACACAGTAGATGATGAATCCATGTCCAATATATGAACTTGTATGGGTACTGACACTCTGATTGATGCTACTGTAATAAGCATCTATATCATTATCATCTCCAGGGTACACTCTTCATTATTATTAAAATAATGAATTCAACCTCTCTCAGCAATACACTAACAAATTGTCATCTAAACTTAGTTCCAGGGCTTTTGGCTAGCTTGTTTTAAACTCTCATGATATCATTGTCATCCCCCGTCCCCCTTAATTTGATCTTCATGGGTCAGGAGAGGAATTGGCTAGTTTATAAGAACTTTTTTTAGTGTGTATGCCTTTCGTCTTTTGTGTCTACAAGATGCTTCTGCTCTTTTTATTTATTTTGGACAATCATGACAATTGCAATCAGCAGTTTACACACTTGACTAACACCTTGCTAGTACTGTCAATCTCTCTTCAGATCCTCTTGGAGGAAAGAGAATAAGGAGCTTTTGCCTTTGCCTTTTTTCCTCTCTTGTCATCACTTGGTTCTTTGATCTCAGAATTAACAAGCGAAATTGTAAGAAGATAGGTATAAAACCACTTCCAGAAAAGGTGATGTCAGACAGAAAGATGTCCTTCAGAATCAGAATATATGTGCATAATAAAATGATGGATAGTGAGCTGGATGGATGGAAAGGAAAGGAATGAGAGAGAGAAGGAATAAGGGAAAGGGGTAGGAGTTCTCTCCTGGCCAGGGGGAGAACCACTCCCCAATTAATCAGTTCAGAGCCCCTTCATTTCAATTGTTCTACTCTTCCATAATTAATTTTTGCTCTGCACGCCACTCCAATTGAATTTATTTCCCTTCCCCTTCCCTCAAAACATTTCTTCTTCAGTAAGCTTGTTGCCAACCTCCACCACCATTTAAAATCCTTCCCACTGATCAGCATCTCATTTTCTACTCACCCACACCACTGCTGTTTCATTTTCTACACCACAGACATTCCCTTACCCAAGTGTTCTTTCTATGCCTTTCTCATATCTTTGTACTCAAGTATTTAATTTCTGACACATATTTCTGACACTTCTTTCCCTCTGTATCCCTTTGTCAATTGTTTGCTTCCTTCCCCTATTCCTTTGGCTGTATTTTGTCGGAATGTTTTCAGTTAATTATCTGTTTTTCAGGGCAGGAGCCTTATTCTACATCTGTAAAGTATCTAGCTATTTGGATTCCATGTAAATAATAATAATTAATAATTTAATATTATGTAACATTATGTTGCAGTAGTGCCTAGAGACCAACCAGATCAGAATTCTATTGTACTAGGTGCTATGCAAACATATAAGCCCCAATGAGCTTATACTCTAAAGACAAGACAAAGCAGGTAGATGAGACAAACACGTGGGTCAGGGTGGAGGAGACAGAGTAACAAAAATAATAGCATGTAGGCTCATAGATTCATAGACGTTAAGGGCAGAAGGGACCATCATGATCATCTAGGTGACTTCCTACACATTGCAAGCCACAGAACCTCACCCACCCCCTCCTGTAATAGACCCACAACCTCTGGCTGAGTTACTGACATTTTCAAATCTTGATTTAAAGACTTCAAGTTATAGAGAATCCACCATTTACTGTAGCTCAAACCAGCATGTGACCCATACCCAACACTGCAGAGGAAAGCAAAAACCTCAATTTAAGTTGGGGGAGAATTCCTTCCCGACACCACATAGGTGGTCAGTTAGACCCTAAGCATGTGTGCAAGACCTACCAGCCAGCCACTCGGGAAATAATTCTCTGTTGTAACTGAGAGCCTTCTCCAACTAGTGTCCCATCTCCAGCTGTTGGAGATATTTGCTAACACCAGTTGCAGATGGGCCATGTGCCATTGTAGGCAATCTCATCCCTGCCATAAATTTATCAAACCCAGTCTTGAAACATGTTAGGTTTCTTGCCTTCACTATTCCCCATAGAAGGCTGTTCCAGAACTTCACTTCTCGGGTGGTTCATCTGATTTCAAGCCTAAATTTATTGATGGCCAGTTTGTATCCATTTGTTCTTGTGCCAACATTGGCCCTTAACTTAAATAACTACTCTCCCTCTCTGGTGTTTCTCCCTCTGATGTATTTAGAGAGCAATCATAGTAGCCCTCTTCTGCACCTGTTCCAGTTTAAATTCATCTTTTTTTAAACATGGGAGACCAGAATTGCACACAGTATTCCAAATGAGGTCTCAGTAGTGAGTTGTGTAATGGTAATAACACTTCCCTATCTCTACTGGAAATATCTCGCCTGATGCATCATAGGATCACATTAGGCCTTTTTTATGGCTGCATCACATTTGCAGCTCATAGTCATCCTGTGACTGACCAATACACCAAGTCTTTCTCCTCCTCTGTTGCTTCCAACTGATGTGCCCCCAGCTTATACCAAAAATTCTTCTTTTTAGTTCCTGACTTTGCACTATTAAATTTCATCCCATTTTTATTATTCCGGTTTTCCAGGTCATCCAAATCTTCTTGTATGATATTCTGGCCCTCTTCCGTATTGGCAATACCTCCCAACTTTGTATCATCTGCAAATTGCATTAGCATACTCTCATTTTTGTGCCAATGTCATGCATGAAAATGTTAAATAAGAATGGTCCCAAGACCAATCCCAGTCCCTGAGGAACTCCACTAGTAACCTTCCTCCAGCCTGACAGTTCATCTTTCAATACGACCCGTTGTTGTCTCCCCTTTAACCAGGGTCCTGAGCCACCTTTCAAGTATCATATTAATCCCCATCTTTTCCAATTTAACTAATAATTTCCCATGTGGAATTGTTTCAAATGCCTTACTGAAATCCAGGTTGATTAGATATACTGCATTCCTTTTGTCTAGAAACTTACTTATCAAATAAAGAGATCAAGTTGGTCTGGCACAGTCTACCTTTTCTAAAACCATTTGTATTTTATCCAAATTACTGTTTACCTCTATGTCCTTAACTACTTGCTCTCTTTCAAAACTTGTTCTAAGACATAGCAGACAATTAAGGTCAAACTAACCGGCCTGTCATTTCCCAGGTCCCTTTTTTCCCCCCTTTCTTAAATATAGGTACTATATTTGCAATTCTCCAATCATAGGGTATGACCTCTGAGTTTATGGATTCATTAAAAATCCTTGCTATTTGGTTTGTAATTTCAAGTGCCAAGTTTTTTAATATTCTTGGCTGGAGATTATCCGGGCCCCCCAATTTGGTCCCAATTAAGCTTCTTTGAGCTTCTCTTCCACCTCAGATGTGGTAATTTCTACTTCCATATCCCTTTTCCCATTAGCCACCCTGCCACAGCCCCCAAGCTTCTCATTACTCTTACGAAAAAGCGAGGCAAAATATTTGTTTATGTGTTGGGCCATGCCTAGATTATCTTTACTCTCCACCCCATCCTTAGTATTTAGCAGTTCCACTTCTTCTTTCCTTGTTTTTTTTTTATTTATATGGCTAAAGAAACTTTTACTGTTGGTTTTAATTTCCTCTGCAAGGAACAACTCTGCTTGGCTTTTGGCAGTTCTCACTTTTTCTCTACACTTTCTGACCTGCAAGAGGTAGCTTTCCTTGCTGATCCATCCCTTCTTCCATTCCTTGCAGGCTTTCTGCTTTCTCTTAATAATCTGTTTTGAGATGCTTGTTCATCTAATTTGGTCTGCAACCCTTTCCTACAATTTTTTCCCACCTGTTTGGGATGGAGGTTTGAGATAGCTTCTGCAACTTTGACTTAAAGTAATTCCAAGCCGCCTCCACATTCAGATCTTGAATTCTAGTCCACTTCCCTAACTAATTCCTTTAATATTTTTTAAGTTTTCCCTTTTGAAATCAAGGGCCCTAGTTGCAGATCTATTTTT